TACTTCATAACTGTAATTTTGCTACTGTTGTGTCTTAGGCGACCCCTATGAAAGGGTCATTCAACTCCCAAAGGGGTCGTGACCCACAGGTTGAGAACCACTGCTCTAACCACTGAGCCAAACCAGCGAGGGCTCTTCTCAGCCTCTTTGTAGAAGCAACTGTGGGAAGCTGAGGCATGGTGGTCCTCGTGGCGTCTTGGGGACAAGACTTTGGGGCTGTTTGAGCCTGATTTCCACGTTGGCCTCTGTCTTAGGACAACCTTCTCCCCACTGCAGCGAGCATGGCGGATTAAAGGGAATCCCTGCCTTGTAACAAGGAGGTGGATGGTGGAGAATTTCCTGCCGCAAGAGCAGGGTGCAGCCCTGAGGGCCTGGGTATTTCAGGACCTTGGTGAGTGCCCTCTGGCAGGTGCGGGGCAGGAGCTACTCCAAGCCTGCAGCCCCGCCCTGGAGTCCCAGCCCTGGCCGCCAGCCTGTTTGTCATCTTTGCAGAGCATTGCAACTTTATGCCTGCGCAGGAAAACTGGAGGGATTCTTCCCAGAGTTTGCTGCCGTGGCCGCCGCCGCTGCCATCAGAGCGGTTTTAATTAGCTGCAGGATTTTAATGATCTGGCATCAAGAAGAAGCCCATCTCAGAAGTAAAGCAGGAGCCACACACAAGGAAGAACTTGTCTGACGAAACAGATGGAGGTGGTGTTCTCCGGGGACTGGCTGTGGGCTCCGTTGCAGCAGGAGCAGATGAGATCCTGAGGCCAGAAGGCTGAGGAGGAAAGCGAAGGTCAGTCCCGGTGCCCAGCGCCATCCCGGCGGGGGCACAGCCAAGGTTGGCCCCTCTGCTGCCAGGGCTAATGCTCGGTGCCGGATTCAAGGTGACGGCGGTGCCTGGCTCCATTCTCCTCAAGTTGCCATAGCAGCCTCTCTCTCTCAATGAGCAGCTTCTCCTGGAGCCCTCGGCTGGGAGGGAAGGACGTCATTGTTCGCTCCTGCCCGTGCAAGGGGGAGACCGGCAGGACAGAGAACTTTCCCAGCCTGGGGTTTGCACACCAAGTGGGTACACCCATGGGTATGTGCCCGGACGCTTCCTGCTGCCTCCACTGGGGTGTGGGGTGGGTCCCCACAGCCAGAAGGGGTCCTCTGGGTGACTGGGGGGAGCATCCAGACCTTGGAGCATCCGCAGCCAAGCGTGTCCTTGGAGCCGTCCGTCCGTCCGCCCGCCTGTCAGCCGTCGCCACTGGAGGTGCGTGCGTTTTGGCTGAATCCCCACGTCCTTGCTTGTGCCCTGGAGTGAATTTTTCCAAGAGACACGTTTTTTAAATCAGATAAATAAGGACATGGGAGGAATCCTCGGCCCGGCCCTGGGTCCCAAACGGTGTTGACAAGATTAATTGGATTTTTTTCCTTACAGTAAAAATTGGTGTCAGGGAGGGAAGCCACTGGGAGTTCCCAGGAATTGTGATGAGGGCAAGGCCTCTGGAAACTCAACAGGCTGTTTATTTTTCTTGCCTTACTGCTCCCCACTCCGTCCCGCTATTGGAGTTTTCCCATTGTCTGTGGGTCTTGGAAGGGAGGCAGGGAGGGAGAGGAGGGTTTTCCAGTGCACGGTGTGGATGCCCAGCTCCAGGTGGGAGCAGAGGCCAGTGGATGTGTTTATGGGGCCCTGGGCAGCTCAGCCCCGCCTGTGACGGGTCCCAGCGTCCACAACCCAGGCGGCAAATCGACTCCCCGGAGAAGGAGACAAACAGCCTCTGGACCAGCCTCTCCCCGTTGCCTTGAAAACAACCTATGACTTGAACACAAGGACCCTTAAGGGAACAATAGGAGGTTAGTTGTGCACAGTCTCTGGAGTGTCTGGTAGTGTGTTGATGACCTCCCATCTACCCCCACCTTTAATGGATGGAGATTCTTACTGATTTGATGATGCTGGTCCTCTCCTGGGGCATTGAGACCCAGCCAGATTGTGAAGAGCCACCCAGCAGGAGAGGCGAGCTAATCTTTTGGTTCCTGTTTGCACGGAGCGGGGAGTTAGCTGGTCAGGTGGTCTCCAGGGAGAGCAAACACTGACGAGAGGGTCTGCTACTCGGGGGCTGGGCCGGCAAAGCCACGCACAGCTCTACCCCCAGCTCCCTGGGCAAGGAGACGGTGCTTGTATTTTCCCAGAGGCCAGCAAAGGGAAGGGTCTCTGAAAAGAGACATCGGAGTGGTCAGTGCTCTCGCCACAGTGAAGGTGTAGATCCTGAGGGTGCGTCCTCTTCTCCCCCAGATTTGGGGGCTAGGATGTGGCACTCCTCCAGGCCCCCAGGCTCATGTGGTGGGTTGGTTTGGGCAGGTTCAGAGACAAGTGAGGCACGTCGTGGCTGCAGGACAGGGGGAGTCGAAGGGTGACAGTGCGATGGGTTGTGGGGAGGAGAGGACTGGCCAGCTCTCTGTGGTCACATCCGCAGCGCCAGCTGCTGTCCCAACAATGCGATGATGGTCACATGGGCATCCGAGTCCCCTCTTTTCACCAGAGTGTTTGTGCTGAGGTTGGGTGGCCCTTGCTCCGTTGTTTTACCAGGTGCTTTTAGCCATACACCTTCCATCCTTTCTTCCCCTCTTCCTCCTTCCTTGAGAAGCGTCGTGGTGTCGGAGATCTCCCTCGATCAGATTGGCCTCCCGGCCCCGTGTCGGACTCAGGAGGCCCGTGCGCTGCGGAATGTGTGCCGGCGCCATGACCACCATAATCAGGGCTTCGTGGCAGTTTCCTCACAGCCAGGGTCTTGCTGGGGACCGTCAGTGCGGTGTGCGGTGCTGGCCAGCGTGCATCCAGGCATGCGTGTGTTCCCGCGTTAGTGCGTGTGCCCTGTCCCCACTGCACCCGTGTGTGCGGTGTCATTCCCACTCGTTCAGCTCTCTTCCGTGACGCTTGGGAATTTCGAGGGGCTGAGCCAGGGGCTGGGGGTAGGGAGCAGAGTGGTGGGGGGAGTAGCTCCACCTTCCCCATCAGTGGCTCCCGCTCCGCTGGACCTCAGGGCTGGCCCCAGGGGACCCTGCAAGCAGAGGCTGGGAGACCCAGGGCACTGAGCATGCTGTGGGCAGCACTGACAGTGACTTTGTTCTTTAACACAGCCTGGGGCCTGCTGGGCTCCACGGCAGCCACAGCCGGGGAGGCCATGGCCGCACATGAAAGGCTCTCGGGTCTGAGCCGCTGGGGACTGCACCGTGAGACCGCCCGTTGTCACCCACCGCAAGCCCAGGGCAGGGTGTCGCCGGCGGTGGCCGGAAGCAGCAATCTTCCTCTGAGGTGAGGGCCATTACCGTGAGGTTGAGCCCAGCTGAAACCCCAGAGCCAGCGCCAGAAACAGAGCCGGGCCGGGCTCCGGGCTTCCTCCCGAACATGAAAGCTGGAAGGTCGCGGGAAGCCCCTGCTCAGCACGGCCCCAGAGCCCGGAGCCGCGGGTCCTCACGCGCAGAGGCCCGGGGCAGGTTAATTAAAGTTAACTGAGTGAAAAAATAATTACAGAGACTGCAGAAGGGAGAAACCCAAACCTGCAATTGAACACTGCTCCGCCCGAGAGCTTTCCTGACAGTACTTCAGGCCTTTCTTGTCTGGGCAGAGGAGGGTGAGCTTCTGTTACGATCGCTTCCTGCCTCATGCCCTACGGGCTGGTTGCAGAGGGGACATTCGATGGGACTTCCTGCCCCAGCACCTGGTGTCCGGTCAGGAACCGGTTCTCTGTCCCTGAGGAGGCCCTGTGCAGGGAAGGGTTTCTGTGCTGAGCAGAACATCTGGTCTGGGGCTCACCAGCCGCCCCCCTGTGCACTCAGTGGCTGCTGGGAGCTGCCCACCGGGCTCAGCCTCCCTCGGACAGTCTTGTTCCAGGATGGGGAAGCCAGGGCTTCTTGGGTGCAAAGAGAGTGGTGTCCCTGGGCCCAGGCTGATAAGAACTGGAACATGTCAGGGGACAGAGTGATTCTTTCAAAGGGGAGGTCCTGGGACACCTGAGCGACTCCTCTTTAGCTCCCGTGCCTCCCCACTGCAGGGACTGGCATCCTTCCTTTAGGCAATGGCCTTGGGTTGCTCCCGTCTTCGACCCACAGCCTGGCCCAACGGGGGTTGATGTGGGGTATTTGGAATTTCTTCCCCTTCAGGGGGAACTGAGGCCAGGGACGTGCTCTGGGTCTGCAGTGCCCAGCTGTGGGCGCATGAGGATGCTGGCAGCAGCCTCGGAGCCTGGGAGCAGTCAGGCTCGGACCTGGCTGCCCGGCCTCAGCCCAGGCCTGAGGGCCTCAAGGCTGGAGACAGCCATGATCTGGCCAGAGCGTCAGCTCCCACCTGTGTGACTGTCCACAGTGCCACCTGCCCATCCATCAAGTCTGTCGTGGCGGGGGACAGCTCTGGCTGGTGTGGGGAACGGCCAGGTGGGGGAGTCTGTCTCTCACATCCTCTGGGCCCAGGGGGCTCCTCAAAGCCTCCTGTGCTGTGGACACCTTGTCCTGAGCATATCAAGGGGAGGGGCCAGGGCAGAGGAAGATGCAAGGCCTTCGCTGTCCACTGGGTCAGTGGCAAGGGACAAGGGCCTTCCTGTACCGAGAACCCAGCATGGCCGCATGCGTGCTTGTTTAGAGGCTCAGAGAGGCTGGACAGTGCAGGTGGGTGGCCACTGTCCCTGGCTCTGGGGCCTTACTCTGGGCTGCTCAGGCAGAGACCAGCGTGTCTCTCTCCATGGTATTTCTGGGGGTGCCAATAGAGGAGACCCTGGAGGGAAGCTGGTGTCCCAGCCACAGGTGGTGACTGGACTTCTCTCAGCCTCCTTGGGCTCGAAAAGGTGGAAGGGACACAGCCGCGTGCTCTAGGGATCACACTTGATCCTGAGCAGTGACGGGGAGGCCCTGTGCCGCGGTGATGGACCATCTCTCTCCCCTTCTGCCCTGTAGACTGTGGCCTGATGGACACCTGGTGTAGACAATGAGGGAAGAACTGGCCTCCCGCACCCGAGAGGTGACCCCGGAGCAAGGCCCAGATGACCCCACGTGCCGGGACGATGCGGCTGGCCTGCATGTTTTCCTCCATCCTGCTGTTCGGAGCTGCGGGCCTCCTCCTCTTCATCAGCCTGCAGGACTCCGCAGAGCTCACCCCCCAGCGGGTGCCAGGTGAGCCCTCACATTCGGCCCCGCTGCCTGCTCGCCCTCCAAGGCTGTCCTGGTGCCGAATCTGTGCCGAGACCCCTGGCAGGCAAAGGAGGGGTCCTGGCCTCCTGGTGGGCGTCAGCCTCGGTGTGGGAACACTGTCTGATGTCTTAGCTGTAGGTCTCTGGCCTCTGACTTCTGGCCTCTGACCTCTTGGCCTCTGGCCTCTGGCCTCTGCACTCCTTTGGGGAATGAGGGCCAGGCTGCCCGTCTCTCGGCTGGTTGTTGCCTTTGGTGAAACTCAGGTTTAAGGAGGATTCTGCCTCTTCTCAGGGCCTCTTTGACAGGCTCCGGGACATCAGAGGGTGAATGGTTTCTCCTTGAACCCATGACCTCAAGTGAGACTCTTTCTCTGTCCAACTGTGGGGACCCCTTGAATCTAACTCCTCCGTCCTGGGCAGAGGGGTTAGGGGTACCTCCTAGCTTTTTGAGGCCGATACTGCTCCTGCTGGCCCCCACCAGGTGCTGCCTGTCCCACCTGTCCCTGGTGCCCCACTGCAGGGCCGACCCCCCCTGGCTGGCCCGGGCTGTTGGGGAAGTGGGATGGCAGGGAGGGCAGAGCAGGAAGGGGTTCCGGAGCCTTGGGCAGAGGGGATGTGGAGAGGAGGGCTCGTGGGACACAGCGCCTGCCCCAGAGAACACAGCAGGGCTGGAGGGTGGCAGGCCAGGCCAAGCCAGGGTCTGTGGCTTTGGGATGAGAGGACAGCACCATGGCAGAGCACCAGCGTCTCTCAGCAGTGGTCCCGGGGCCTTGTTAGGGGACGGCCCATGAAGACACCCACGTGCTCTGTGCTCTAGAACACAGCGTGAGGGAGGCGTGCGGGCTGAGGGCTCAGGCAGAGGGTCCCTGCCCCATCCCTGCCGGCAGCACGCTGCACAGGAGGGCGGAGGGCGGCCTGGGGTCCCCCCAGCGTGGCTAATGGGGGCCTGCAGGCAATAGGTGGAAAGGCAGACAGAGCCCAGGAGGCAGAGTTAGGGCCCTGGGCTTGGCAGCTGCTATCAGGGCCCCTGGCAGGGGAGGCCGGCGAGCTGATTCTGTCATCAGAGTCGGTGAGAGGCAGCCAAGGCCGTGGGTCCCAGGGGACAGCAGCCAGTCACTGGTGCTGACTCACGCCTGGCCGGACCCTCACAGATGCTGGCTGTCACAAGTGGGTCTGGCTGCTCCCCACAAGGACATGTGACCAAGCTGGCTCCTCAGTGGGGACCTTGCAGCCTCCTGTGAGGTAATGACTCTGTGTCAGCAGAATCGGGCCCCACAGGGCAGCGCCGTCAGGGTGGACCGAGAGTTGGCCGGGCAGCTGTGTGTCATCTGTGAGGGGCCCTCAAACACGACCTGCGGCAAACGGCGCTGCGAATCCTTGGTGCGTGTCTTTGTGTGTGTGTGTGTGTGGTGGGGTGCACACGTGGGCAGAGGGTCCTCGTGGCCAGTGTCTGTGTTCTGTGGGATGAGCCTGGGAGAGGAGGCATGAGCGTGTCTGTGGTGTCCAGCTGGGACAGGGGCCACAGCCGTGGTACACTAGGGCAGGTGCTACATTCCTGGATGGAGCTGGGCCTGGTGGCTGGTATTTCTAGGGTGACATGGTGAGCTGGGAAGGATCGTGGAGGCTCAGGCTAGCAGGCTGTGAAGGATGAAAGGAAGCTGAAGCCAGCATCCCCTGTAGCCACGGACCCCGTGGGCCTGACAGAGGCAGGCAAGGAGCTCTCTTGGGTCCTGAACCGTGTTCTTCTGGCTGTAAATGGAGCTTGACCACCCTCGCCACGTGCCAGGTGATGGGCAGCCTTGACACTCTCCGTAAATCACATCAACCAGTCATAAAACTTTAAATAATGCTCACGTTACTTTGCCTGAGCAAAGTGTTCCTGACACAGTCTGTTTGTGTTGATTTGTTACTATTCATTTATTCTTTCCCTGTACTTCTCACGGCAGCCTAATTGTGATGCGGTACCAAGAAAGCAATATCAAAGTAATTTTCCACAACATTAGTTACAATTTTCTTCTGATCTTTCAAGTGAAACAATCCCATCCTGTTGGCTTCTCTGAGCATATAAACCTTGATTACATTTATCTGTTGGAAACCAGTGCTTACAAAGTGTATGTATCCATTTGCATGGGTGGGTGGCCCCAAGGGCCCTGGACAAGCCTCCCCTGGCTGGATGTCTGTCCTCGGGAGGTGCAGACACAGGAGACTGCCCTGCCGTCGGATTGGGCGAGGCCAGGGTTCGGGGAGCATCCTCAGGGGAATCCCACACAGGCTGCTCTGCCCTTCCGGTGCCCTGGGAACAGAGTCCCTGGGATCTGCTCTTGGTGGTGCTGACCAAGGTGGGAGCGGAGGGTGGACGGATGAAGATTGGGAACAAGCTTGAGGAGGCGGGAGGGAGCGCTCAGTTCCTCGTGTTCCTGCAGGGTTGGGGTGTCATTGAGATTTCTCCCATGCAGTTACCAGGTGTTAACAGCAGCTGTCTTTCTCGGGGACCAGTCAGCTACCCCCTCCTCATGGAGAGCGGCCAGACCCACTCCTGCATTCGATGTAACCTTCTGGAGTTGCCAACTCTCGTAAATCAAGCCGTCGTTTCAAGAACGTTTGTTATATGTAAATCAAATCTTTCGACATGTGCGTCGCTGCCAGTTAACCTACCTTTGGTCTAAGTTTAGATGTTCTCGTGCAGCAGGGAATTCACCTATCCAACTTTTTATTCTCCAATGTTGCCAGGCCCTGAAGCTTCAGGAACCTCTCTTCTTGACCCAGGAAACTAGGCGGACGGCTCGCAGAGTATGCTGGGGTCTGGAATAACACATCCCGACAGGCTGGCTCCGGGGAGGCAGAGACAGGTTCCACACCTAAGGCTGGGCAAACGGGACTTTCTATTTTATTTTTTCTAATCCTCACCCGAGATTTGCATTTATCTTCAGATAGAGTGGGAGGAGAGAGAGAATCATCGAAGTGAGATCGATGTGAGAGAGAGAGACACATCGACTGGTTGACACCCACACGACCCCAACTGGGGCCGGGGACAAACTGCAACTTAAGTACGCGCCCTTAGCAGGAACCGAACCCAGGTCTCTCTGGTCCGTGGGCCGACGCTCTAACCACTGAACCAAACCAGCCAGGGCCAAATGGAACTTTTATGAGCAGCCTTTCTCTGTGAACTTTCCTTGTGGAGGACTTGGAACACCTCAGAAGTAGATTAGAGCCGTACAATGAACTCATGCACCCAGCACCCCCAACATGGTCAGGGTGGCCCCATCCACATCCCTACCCACTGCCCTCCTTCTGTATGATTTTGAAGCATATAGCAGGCGGAATATCAATTCAGCCATAAGCATTTCAATGTATTTCACAGTTTTAGAAGATAAGAACTCTTTTTTTTTTCTAACCTTCAGCAATTTCTTAATATCATCAAATATCCAGCCAGTGTTCAAATATCGTGTCTCATGAATAGTATAAATACCTGTATTTCCAATTTGTTGTATTCAATACCCAGACAGGCCCACACATTGCATTTGGTGGGTGAGTCATTAAATCTCTCCCATCTGTAAGGTTCCCTCTCTATCTTTATTTCTCTCGGGCTATTTATTGGAGGAAACTGGGTCAAGAGTCTGGAGCGTTTCCCACAGTTGGGATTTTTTGCTGATTGCGTCTGCTTGGTGTAGTTCAATATTGTCTTCTGTTCTTTGTACTCCCTGTAAGCTAAGTGAATTAGCAGTTCGATCAGATGGAGGTTTAGTTGTTCCTTCTTTCTTTGGCCAGAATTCACACGTAGCACCGTGTTCTTCCTTCAGGGGGCGCACATCTGCCCGGCTCTCTTCAGTGATGTCAGTTGCCTAAACCCAGCTATTCACTGGGGCTGCCCAAGGTGCTGTTCTGTTGATCATTTCTCCGTTCTTCTAAGTGGGATGGATTTTGTTTTAATGGGGTGAAGCGAGTCGTCGTCCGTGACCCATGAAGCCAAAGCGACGGATGGATTGATTGGCTTATTCATTTTAAAAATTGACTTTATGATACAATTTCTGTTGCCAGCACACTGTAAATAGTGTTTTGGGTTTTTTTTTAGTGTTTGGGTTTTGCAGAGTGAGTTTTCTGAAAGCGGGGCCACCCCACCTTTCAGTGATGTAACTGCTTCCCCAAAGCTGTGGCATTGTGGGTGGTGGTCCTGGGGACTGGGGCTGGGGCTGGAATGTCGGGGCGAGAAGGCAGTTCTAGTGACAGCAGAGGTCCCCGCGGAGGGGCCCCAAGTGCAGACAAAGGGACTGGACAGCTCAGATGAAGTCTGGGTCTGCAGCCTGTTCCAGGGCATTTCTTCCAGGGCACAAGGGCATTCGAGGGCAATAGTAATAACCACCACCATCAGGCGTGTACCACACGTCAGGTCTTGTGCTAAGCACTTTAGGTGTTTTCATGCGTGTCATTCTTATAAGCGAGGATGGCTCCTATCTGCAGAGGAGGCACCTTGTGCTTCCTAGGGTGGACGCACCAGCGGCGACACGGCTGATGTTGGCACACACGCTTCGGAATTCCCTCGTGACGGGCACTGTCACCGCTCTTGACGTGTAGTTGGCATTCATTTCATCCTTTCGACGCCCATGAGCTAAGCGCTGTTATACCACTTGACAGATGGGCCTGCTGAGGTAAGAGGTTAAGAGCTGTGCCCAAGGCCAGTCGCTTTGGGCTTCACGACCAGCTGCAGAACTGGCTGTTGCTCGGCGCGCCGACTGCCTCCCCCACGACTGTGAGGCTGGGACTGCTGGTCCGGCCGAGCAGGGCCTGGGCAGAGAGGAGAGCGTGGCTCAAGGTTTGGAGGCAAGAAAGAAGGCGGCGTGGCAGGGACCCCCAGTGGGTTCGGGGCTGCAGTGCGACCTGCGGATTGAGACTCATGGCTGAGGACACAGCCAGGCTGGGGCCGGGGAGCCCAGGGAGTGCTTGAAGAGCACGCCTTTGCCCAGGCCATGGGGCTTTCGGGGTGCC